TGAAAACTAAGTAGGAGAAAGTGCTGTGACACTGGCCTCTTGCCAAGAGCGAGCTGCCTCCGGGACAAGACCTTGGCGGCAACAGAGAGGGGAGAATCACCTTGACCGCAGCCAGATCGGGGGCATCTCACCCTCCGGGCCTGACCCGCTTCCGCCCTGGGGCAGGTGAGGGGCAGTTCTGTCACCCCCAGAGGGTGCCTGTTACAGAAGACGCTGTAATAGGGATGTTTGCTTTCCTTGGGGGGGGGGGCGACGTCTAAGACTGAGGTGCCTCCTGGGGCCCGAGAAATGCAATGGAAAAAAGAAACCTTGACTTTCTGACAGATGTTGAACAAACGCATTCGTCTGTTTTCCAAAAAACTAAAATATTACTACCCCACGTGACAGGAGAACACGGGCTTTTCCGGATAACTTACTTAACATCACCAACCCTCCAAAACACAACCAGCAACGAGAAAAACAGAAAATAAAAGGCTTTTAAGCAATCAGAACTGACAGCACAGAGTCCAAGTGTGAAAGTTCACATACATTCATGGAAGTAGACTCCCCGAGGCCCCACTCATAATCTACTTACTCCTATTTTGCAGACAATTCTAATGGGTTTCGTCACCGGCATGCCTGCTCAGAGCAGCACGTTAGAAGAAGCCAATGGCAGAGGAACCAGAGGATTAGACACGGACTGCTGGTTGGTAGAAAGTTGTGGGGGTTTGTTAAATGGTTTTATTTTTTATTTTTGAGAGAAAGACAGAGACAGAGACAGCACGCGCAGGGGGAGAGGCAGAGAGAGAGGGAGACACAGAATCCGAAGCAGGCTCCGGGCTCCGAGCTGGCAGCACAGAACCCCACGCAGGGGCTCGAACTCACAAACCACCCCAGAAACAGTTTAAAACGACAGCAGTAGAGGCGTCTGGGTGGCTCAGGGGGTTGAGCATTCACCTTCGGCTCAGGTCATGATCTGGCGGTTTGTGACTTTGAGCTCCCGCTTGGGCTGTCTGTTGTGGGCAGGGAGCCGACTTCAGATCCTCTGTCGCCACCCCCCCCCTCTCGGCCCCTCCCCTGCTGGCTTTCTCTCCCTCAAGTATAAATAAAACATTTAAAAAAAATAACAGCAGCAAAAAATGAGACCTAACAGACAGGGGATATATGAAAAGATTAGAAAAGCGGGCATTACAAATTAAGAGGCAGAACTATCTGTACCCAATCTAATGGAGGGACAAACAACCCTCCAGACTTTAGGAGCCCCTGAGACAACACTATATACAGCACTTTAAAATAACTAATGCTATTATAAGAATAATCTTGAGTCATCAAAAAAAAAAAAAAAAAAAGATGCAGTTATCACCAGGTTCAGGAGTTAGGAGACTAAACCATCTTTCCGAAAGGCTTTCCACCCAAAATGTGACAGATTTGGGGACAACGGGGGGGGGGGGGGGGGGGGGGGGGGGGGGGGGGGGAGGGGGATGTATCAAGCACCAAAAGTGCTAAACCTCATTTACCCAGAAACATTCAGTCATGTGGAACACGTGTTGATTTTGTAAGGGCGTAGTTCCAGAAGATGTGTGGATGACAACACAAGTTAATTACTCAGTATGCGATGTGTACGCCCTCACAAAATAAACCTTCCAGCGAGCAGGTGCTCACAACTACTTATCTGAGTTATCCGAGGTATAGTTTGCATTCTTTTGTCCTGTAAGGAATGTAAAACATTACTTTCTTTTTTCCTCTTTCTTTCCATCCTCGGGTAAGGAAGGTGTGGCTGGGGGGGGGGGGG